TAAATACTAGGAAAAGAGAATATCTAAATTTTTAGAGTGCTATTGTCATAAGATCTGAGCTCATGTTTGTATAGAGACCCTGAATACAGGAATTACCTCTTATTAGGTTGAAGGACCACAAAGACTAAATGTCAGTTAGAGTTTTGGCCCAAATATGTCTCAAAATGGGATCAATGGCCCCATAAACCCAGTGTGTAGTAATTTCTGCAGTCTTGTGGGCATAAATAGCATAGGTATACATAGAAGCTAACTAAATCTTTACAAGATTCCCTCACCAGTAAAAAACAGTGGAAATGTTCAAATGGAAGACCTTGAAGAAATATTTAGAAATAGAGAAAGGAGCATTTATTATAGGAATTGTCTCACACAATTATGGAGGTTGAAATGTCCTATAGTCTGCCATCTACAAGCTGGAGAACAAAGAAAGCCAGTGGTATAATTCAGTCTGAGTCTGGAGGCCTTGAGAACCAGTAGCACCAATGTCTGGGGTCAGAAGAGGGGTGTACTGATTCAGGAAGAAAAAAAATTTCCCCCTTTCTGCTCTTTTTTTGGTTCTATTTATGTCCTCAACAGATTGAAAGGTGCCCATTCAGATTGGTGAGGGTGACCTTCCCTATTTAGTTTATGAACTCATCTCATCCAGAAACATTCTCACAGACACATCCAGAAATAATGTTTTACTAGTTATCTGGGCATCCATTAGCCTAGTCAAATTAACACATAAAATGAACCATCACAGCATAGAATAACAGATTATTGCCACCACTAAAGACTTAAAGGATGTAGGAATTGTGATACCCATCATATACACATTTGATTCATTGTTGTTCCTCCTGCAGAATTCAGTTTTTGGCAAACCCCCATGTGCAAGTTGCAGCACAGATTGCTAGGTTTCTGGAGCAAAGCCATATTGTGGCAGAATATATTCACAGCTCAAAAAGAAGCTCCTGGCATACTAATAGACCCAAGCAGAGACAGAACATCTGTCACTATGTAACATCAAATGATGATGGTGCTGACCTTCATGACTGGGTACTCTCAGATCCACCAAGCTGTAAATTCTGGTAGACTTAGCAGCAGGAATCTAATGTTAAGTGACAATATAGATTCAGAGTCAGTTGGAGCAGGTGCAAAGGTCATGAATGATTTGAACTTGTTATCTCTCTAAAAGCTTATCTAGCCCAAAGTCTACCTCTAACCCTAAAGCCTTTTGGTAAGCTCACTGTTATAGCCCAATGGGGCTGTTCCAATGACTAAAGGGCAGAGCAAGAATATATCAGGCATGGTTCATGGATGGGTCTTCTCAATATGTTGGAATTCTCCTGAAAATGGACTTTTGTTGCACTAAGAATTGCTCTGAGAAAGAATAGTAGGGGGGGAAATATTCCCAGTAGGCAGAACTTTCATGCAGTATACCCAATCACTAATTTTATGTGGAGGGAGATGTGGTCTGAAGTAAGAAGATACAAAGACATCTGGAAAGTTATTATTAGTTTGGCTAGTTTGTCAGGGGTCAAAAAGAGTAGGTTTAAACAAAGAAATCTGAAGAGGAATTGTGTAGATGGACATATCAGAGTGGATACAATTATGTAGATATTTGAGTCTGATGTCAGTTTCACCATAGTGCAACTACATCAGAGAAGACTAAACAACCAGGAGGACAGTGACTCAGCTAGGAAATGTCTAACAGCTTTTGTTATCTGCAATACCAGCACATGTTCAAGGGGGCTGAAAAATAGAATTACTATAGTGCCAGATGGGTTTCCTTTTACAAAATGGATTGGAGTTAGAATATCTAATCGGCAAGCCCCAGAGTATTTCACTGAGCCCTTAATGGAGCACCACACTTAGAGGATTCCAACCAGGTCTTGATGGCAAATTGATTTTATCAGACTCCTTCCATATAGATGGAAGTTGCTATTTAATAGGAATGATAGATATTCAGGTATGAGTTTGCCTTTACTGTCCACAGGGTCATGACCATCACCAGTCTCTGAGATATGTGGTGGCTTATTTATCATAACAGGGTCTCACATAACATTGCTGTGGACTGAGAAGATGAAATAATCTTCTTCTGAGAAGAAAATGAAATAATGCACCCGTGGTTATGAGATCTGTTCATCTTAACATACATCACAGCAACCAGTTGAAATGGCTTCTTTTTTTTTTTAACAGATAACTGTATTTTTTTTTAATTTCTTTTCAGCGTAACAGAATTCATTGTTTTTGCACCACACCCAGTGCTCCATGCAATGTGTGCCCTCCATAATACCCACCATCAGGCTCCCCCAACCTCCCACCCCCCGCCCCTTTAAAACCCTCAGGTTGTTTTCAGGATCCATAGTCTCTCATGGTTCATCTCCCCCTCCAATTTCCCTCAAAAGCCTTCTTAAAATGCAGCTAATGAAGGAGCAAAGGATTATACTCTGTGAGATTTGGTATTGTTTCTACAATGTAGACTATATATATATTTTTTTACCAATGTCGCCCTGTCCCTAATATGTAGAATATAGAGATCTGAGGAAAAACAAAACAAAACAAACAAACAAACCTGTTGAGGAAAACTTCTCTCTCACCATCGCTCCCTGGGACCCACTTAATAAATCGCTATAGCGTTTTTGCCTACCTGATAAGAGTGAGCTCCACAGACGAGTAGATCAGCAGAGAAATTAATTACACTATTGATTACTGTGAAGAGATATAGTTCTGCTGTATAGTGGGAGTCTGAAGAGACACGTCAGAAATTCATAAGATTTGTTGGGGTTGCTTCTATTCCCAAAGGGCTGTTGTATAAAGACACAAGAACTGAGAGGAGGGCTCGGACTTCTCAGGGATACAGTTTTAGCTACATAGACCAGCAGGAGAGGAAACAAACTATGAGGGCAATGTAGAATGGGTAATACAGGACAGAGAGGATCAATGTCAATTACTGCTTAGAAACCAATTTGTAGCTGAAAAGAGACATTAGCTTGTCCAACTACTCTTTTCTGCTGTTTAATTTGGTTTTGTTTTTGAGACTTCAGGACCAGCTATTGTCTTTAAGAAGTGGTGATAGAAGAGATTGAACATAACATGAGTTGTGCCTGCACCTGAATGGGACAAAGAGTAAACTCTAGAAGGTGCTTGTTGGTGCCTCATCAGTAAACACTCTGTATCCATTTCAGTCACGCTCATGCTTTCCTCTTGCAAGCTGTTCAAGTTCTCAGAATGATGCCTTTGTCCTTTCAAGTGCCAATGAGTTCATGTCTTTGGAGCAGACTTTAGCAGACAGAAAAATAGCAGCTATGCAGACACACACACACACACACACACACACACACTTACACTCAGAAGTGATGAAGGTAAATGAATATATGTAAAAAAATACTATACACTTGCAAATGAACTTACATTTAATGAAAAATAAACAAATAATAAATAAAATCAGAATTTTCCCAAGATTGTATTTATGCACACATACAAAAATGAATGCATATTTTTTATAATCATTTTTTTAAATTTATTTTCAGCATAACAGTATTCATTGTTTTTGTACCACACCCAGTGCTCCATGCAATCCGTGCCCTCTCTAATACCCACCACCTGGTTCCCCCAACCTCCCACCCCCCCACCTCTTCAAACCCTTCAGATTGTTTTTCAGAGTCCATAGTCTCTCATTGTTCACCTCCCCTTCCAATTTCCCCCAACTCCCTTCTCCTAACTCCCCATGTCCTCCATGCTATTTGTTATGAATGCATATTTTTACCCCATGGAATCATTGGATATTCTAGATAGTTCATGAGTTGTTGATTCTTTTATCCTGGGTGGCCTAGGATTTTAGAATTTAGTGTTAGAATAGAAAAATAGTACTAATATAATAGAGAATCTTTATATAAATAACAACAGGAACTATCCCAGGGATCAGCAAACTAGAACAGCTCAGTAGAAGCCAGAACACCAGTATCTTCCAAAGCAACATGGACGGTAGCAGGCATAACCATAGCCACCCCAGCCGTAGCCATAGCCGCGACCCAGGCCACTGTAGCCGTAGCCCAGGCCGCCATAATAGTTGCCATAGTAGCACATGGTGTCAGGAGTGGAGGCTTCAGTTGAGGAGCAGAATCAGCTCCTTGAGTTTGGATTTCATAATCTGCACGGGGCCTTTTATACAACCTGAGTGGTATGTGGGAAGACCACTAGCAGGATAGACTCATCTCCAAACAGATGGACATTTAAAAAAAAAAAAAACTGAAGAATTCTTCATAACCAATGTATTCAGGACTCTGTTGCTGTAGTGTCATGTGGCACTAAAACAAAACCCATCTCCTAATTACAGTGTTTGGTTACTTAAGAACCCAGCTTCCATGAGAGCTTATGAGCAATGCAAAGCTCATCTGTATTTGTTATTTTTATTATGATTTTTATTATGATTGTTGTTGAATTTTTTGAAATTTTTATTTAAATTCCAGTTATTTAACATACAGTGTAGTATGAGTTTTAGGCATACAATATAATGATTCGACTCTCCCATACATCGCCGGGTGCTCATCACAACTGTGCTCCTTAATTTCCATCACTCGTTTCCCCCACTTCCCCTCTGGTAATCACTGATTTGATTTCTTAAAGATATGATAGGAAATTCCTTTTTTTAAACTTTATTGAAGAATAATGGACAAATATAATGATATACATTTCAAGTGTACAGCATGATGATTTGATGTACGTATTCATTGTGGAATGATTACGAAGCTCAAGATAGCTAGTAGAACGTCCATCACCTTACATCGTTAACTCTTTTTAAGTGTGTGTGGTAATGACACTGCTATGGAAACATAAAGATGAATGGACACACTAGTAGTTTAAGCAAAGCTTGATTTTAAGCTGAACAAATTTTTATTTTTCTTATTCTTGAAGCCTCCCTCTCCCTTTCACTTGTTTTTCTGAGACTCCTTTGCTCCAGAAACTTCCCGTTGATACTGACATTTCACTGACCCTGATGTATACTTAGTAAGGTGACTAAGATGGCCAGCACCAGTGGAGTCAGGAAACCACCTCGAAGTCATGATGTGCACAGCTGGTACAGTACCTACCAGATTCCTATGGACACCACCCAGGTCCTGTATTTTCCGACAAAACCCCTTAGCTTGTTACCCCAGTGGGTCTGCAGTTTTGAAGGCATTAGTCTGCTACAGCCTCTTTTGCCTGGCAAAGTAATAAAACTATTGTTTTTCTTATTAGTTTTTAAAGATTTTATTTATTTATTTGAGAGAGAGAGCATGGACGGGGCGGGAGTGGGGAGAGCAGAGGGAGATGGAAGAGCAGATTCCTGGCTGAGCAGGGGGCTCAAGGCGGGGTTTCATCTCAGGACCCTGAAATCAGGACCTAAGCCAAAAGCAGATGCTTAACCAACGGAGACACCCAGGTGTCCCCTGTTGTTCCTCTTAATCCCCAAACTCTGTCTTCATGTTATATTTCAGCTCTGGAACACAGAGGTTAGTTTTCAAAAACAGTAAGAGTGTATAAGATCTTCTCTCAACAACTTTAAAGCATACAACTGTTATTAACTATAGTCACCATGTTGTACAATAGTTCCTCAGAACTTATAAATGAAACTTGTACCCCTTGAACATCACCCCATTTCCCTCTTTTTGCAGCCTCTAGCCAACACCATTCTATTGTCTGTTTCTATGAAATTGCCTTTTGTTTTTGTTTTAGCTTCCACACACGAGTGATACCATACAGTATTTATTTTTCTCTGTCTGGCTTATCTCACTTAGCATAATGCCCTCCCGGCTGATCTATGTTCCTGCAAATGGCAGAGTTGTCTTCTTTTTTTATGGCTGAGTTTGTGCCATTTATCTACATGGGCCTTTGACATTGAGAGGAAATATGTATTCTACCAGAAATCTTAGTTTAGAAAGCTATTCTACTTTGTTGATTTTTTTTTCATTTTTTCCCTTATTATTTTTGTGTGTGTGACAGACACACAATAGCAATTAAACTCTGAAATAAATATATTAAATTCTGATAATACTTGAAAAACAATAAAAGTCAAAGGGTTGAATAAGCTTATTTGTTACTCGGGGGAGTAAATTTTGTTTTTTTTAAATTTTTTAATTTTTAATTTTAATTTAATTTTTAATTATTTTGTTTTTAAAAAGATTTATTTATTTATTTATTTATTTTATTTGAGAGAGAGAGAGAGAGAAAGAGAAAAAGCATGTGGGGGGGGGCAGAGGGAGAGAGGAGAGGGAGAAGCAGACTCCCCAGTGAACAGGGAGCCCAATCCCAGGACCCTGAGATCATGACCTGAGCTGAAGACAGACACTTAAACAACTTAGCTACCAAGGTGCCCCTGGGGGAGTTATTTTTAATTTGAGTGGTCAGAAAAGAATTTGAGGAGATGGCATTTTCACTGAAACCTGAATAAAGAGAAGGATTCAACCATTCCCACTGCTGCAATTTCCAGATAAAGGGGTCAGCTGTACAATGGCAAAGGTCTTAAGGAGAGATATAACTTGGTCTGAGATGCTGAAGAGTCACTGTGTTTGGAATATGGAAAATGAGAAAGAAAACGGTAGGGGATGATGTCAAAGAGGATAGTTTATTGCTGGATATTCTAAATGTAATGGGAAGCTCATGTAGTCATGCTCCAGGGAAAGGGTGTAATTTAATTTTTCTTGAGCCATGAGATTGAGATATTAGAAGAGAATACATTTGGTGTTATGAGGGGGTCATGGACTGTATGTGGGTAATATTACATTTCTGATGACTATTTAAGATAACAATTGAATTATCAGGTAGACAGTTGACTAGACATCTATAAAAGGGTGAAGATAAAGAACATAGGAAGGTCAAAAACAATGCTGTGAGATTGGAATCAAATTATGGAGAAGATAATACAAAAATTACTGGAAAGATGAATTTGGAGGCAAAGTAAGCAAGTACAGTGTATTGCATTCAGAGAGAGAGAATCTGTCAAGAAAGAAGAATTCAACTGACCTGAATTTTCAGAGCTCTGATGAAATGAATACAAAGAAACAAACCATATTTGGGTTTGTCAAGACATGAAAGGTGCACCTCAGTGGAGTGGTGGGTCAACAGTCTAAATGTTTGAGGGAACAGAACATGAGCCAATGGAAGCAGTAATCTTATAAATACATTTTTGAAATTTCTATGAAGAGGAATAGTGAATTAAGGAGTTATCTTGGGAAACTTGAGGGAATTATCTTGGGGAAATATTTTTTTAATGTTTGTTTTGTTTTCCATGAGAGATAGTTAGCATTAATCATATTTCAGAGCATTAGGGGAGCAATATTTAAAAAAGAAAAAGAAAAAAAGAATGGTATGGTATAAACATAGACAGAGCATGGAAGATTTTTAGGGCTGTGAGGCTATTCTATATGATACCACAATGGTGGCTACATGTCATTACACATTTGTCAAACACCACAGAATGTATAACAGCAAGAGTGAACCCTAATTTAAACTACAGACTTAAGGTGATAATAATGTGTCAAGGTAGGTCCGTCAGTTGTAATAAATGTACCATTCTGGTTCCAGATGTTGATAGTTATGGGATAGAGGGGACCTTCCATAATCATCTTAACTATTTGCAAAACTTGCTAAATAATTATTTTGTTAACTAATAGATTTCAGTCATACACCTTTCTGGTCCATGAATTTATTCAATGTATAGGACTTAAGTCTAAAAAAAATGATAATCACATTATTTCAACTAGTGTTCATTAAAAAATTATTCTCAGTTGAATGATAAGTGATTGACGAAATCTGAAGTATGATAATTTGAAACAAGTATCTGATGTAGTTGAGATTTTCTAATAGTTATTATCTCAGTGAAGGAGGGACTGAAATGATCTGCAACCATCATAATGTCTCTAGTTTGTGGAAATATACTTATCAATAAAAATAAATAGAAAATACATTAAAATGTATGATAAATGGATAAGTGATTGTGTTTAACCTGATTATTCATATAAAAACGTTGCTCTGTTCTATTTAGAGGTTATTTTCATTTGACTAATTTGAATTACTTATCAAAGCAGATGAACAGAATGAATTACAAAGAGCTTGGGTACTGAATTCCAGGGGAAGGTAAACTGAAGTTTAAATGGTTTCCAATCTTGAACCCTCTTCACTATCGGATAACCCAACCTTAACACTCTTTGGTTATACTTTAAGGTTAATGAAGAGATATTTGCTAAAACTCTTAAAACACAGAACATCATTGTATTGTGACCACCTTGTTCATTGATTATGGTTTTATATGCATAATCATACCTTCTTCCTGACTCTTCCCAAAGACATAAAATCTATCTGTTTTCAGACAATAACAAGATTCTCTTGGCTTTTCTGTATGCCCTAGTAGCCTGGATTAGCATCCAGTGAAAAGAATGAAGTAAAAAAAAAAAAAAAATCAATGATTATTTAGGAGAGTTCCTTGTGCCTGATTAAAAATAGACTACTTATTTAACATTGTATGCCTTTATAAATGAACTTTTCTTTTTATCATGGGAAAATAACTATCTGAAATTAAAAAAAACCAGTCAGAATATCAGCTGATAATTATATATCCCCAAATGTGAACAGATATCCCTGTTGACCAGTGAGACATTACAAAAAAAAAAAATAATTGGGAAGCACTGACATTTCAGATACAGTAAAGCCCATAAGCATGTAACTGGCAAAAATTATTAAATTTTCAAAGTTAAAAATGGTATCAATTGAAAATGGCAATTGATAGATGTCTCAATAAAATGGGATCCATTATTATCACTCTCTCTGGCGGTAGGGTCTGATCAGAAATTGCAATCCATAGGATAAACTATTTTTAGTGTCCTGAAGAAGAATTAGGCATAAAAAATTAAAAAAAAAACAATTTGTATAAGTAAAAATCCAGAAATGCAGTTGGCTCAGGGTAGTTGTTCAAGACATGTGAATAAGTTGGCTCTTTCTGAATTGTATTACAGAGATGAATTGACTTTGCGATTTTCTATGACGCAACCTTTTGAAGGTGGAGAGACAGCTGAAACACTGAAGAGGAAAAATTGTTTTGAAACAAAGTAGAGGCAAGACTCATTGGTCAAAAATGTGTGCTATTGGTTTTTGGAAAGACAGGGAGAAGACTATAGGTTTTATTTTGTGCCAAGAGCAAGTAAAAATTGGCCTGCTGTAAATGCCATTTCTTGAAATGATGCATGTTTATTGAGATTAAAATGAGATTTGGTGTAATGCAGGGATTTGGGTGTATGACTATCTCCTGTCATTACTGACACTGAATTGTTTTGGGGGAGTCCCGAGTCACCAAATAAAATAAATTTCTTTAATTCCTCTGAGGTTTTATCTTATGGTTAAGAAACAACAAACTAATTAGATTAGTCATAAGATTAGTCAGTGGCATGACTCCTGTGGTGGATCCCACCCACATTGAGGGTATATAAAAGGTCTCTGCAGGGGAATTGTCCACACTGAAGTGACACTTTTCCTCTCCTCCTCTACTCAAGGACAACCTCAACAACCAACACCATGTGTGGCAGCTACTACGGAGGCTGTGGCTATGGAGGCTGTGGTTATGGAGGCTGTGGCTATGGAGGCTGTGGTTACGGAGGCTGTGGCTATGGAGGCTGTGGCTATGGAGGCTGTGGCTACGGAGGCCTGGGCTATGGCTATGGCTCCAGCTATGGCTGTGGCTTCCGCAGACTTGGCTGTGGCTATGGCTGTGGCTATGGCTATGGGTCTCGCTCCCTCTGTGGCTGTGGCTATGGCTGTGGCTCTGGCTACCGTTCTGGCTTTGGCTGCTACTATTGAGGTTGCCCTGGGAGACTTTTCTCTCCCACACATGTAACATCATGATTTACCTGCCCTGAATCCCACACCCTGTGTTACTACATAAGGTTGAGATAATTCAGATTTGTGGAATGGGGTGGTCCCTGTCTGGATCTAAAACCCATAATTATTTATTCCCAACCTTTGCTTCATGAAAAGCCCAGAATGTGATAATTCATCCTCTGAACTCACTTACGTACTTTTACCAGTCACTGATCCTGCCTTGATAATTTTCATGCATCATTCTGTTTCCCAGTGTTCCTTAATAAATTTGGCTATCCTGAAATAAAAATCTTGGTTTCCTTTCTATTTATTACAAGTAATAGGGTTTATTTTATTTACTTATTTTAAAGATTTATTTATTTGAGAGAGAAAGAGAGAGAGTGTGTGTGCTTATAAGCAAAAGAGTTGGGGGTAGGGACAGAAGTCGAAGGAATCCTCAAGCAGATTTCCTGCTGAGCCCAGATTAGATTATATATTAGAGAATAGAGTCCCAGCTCTATTCCAGGACCCTGAGGTCATGACATGAGCTGAAATAAACAATTGGAGGCTTAACCAACTGAGCCACCCAGGCTTCCCAGAATTTATTTTATTTTATTTAAAAAAAAATGTATTTGCTTGATACCAAGAAAGGTGGCGATTATCTGTTTTTGGCATATATTCTTTTGCTGTTTCTACTTCAGTTGCTCTAACAGTTCTATTATGTCTCTGTTGCTGGGAGTTTTTAGACTAAATGGTACAGCATTTGTCAATTAGTTTATGGTTGCTTAGCTCATGGTGACTATTCTGCATATCTTTTCCCTTCACAATCAACCATCTGCAATGTTCCATGCCTCCCCAAATCTTTTTTTTAATGTTTTATTTTTAAATTTTTAAAATTACAGACAGAAAAATTCACTCCCTTGGTTATATCTCTGTGACTTCAAAAAATGCATAGTGTTGTGGTACAACCATCAAAATCAAGATACAAAACAGTGCCATCATTCTCCCCACAAAACCCCTCGTGCTTTTTTTTCTTTTCTTTTTTTTTTTTTTTTTGTAGTTTCAAGTTTTGATTTAAATTCCAGTTAGCTAACAAATAGTATAATATTAGTTTCAGGAGTAGAATTTCGTGATTCATCACTTACATATAACACCCAGTGCTCATCACGAAAAATGCCCTCTTTAATACCCCTCACACATTTAACCCATCCCCTGTCCACCTCCCCTCCAGCAACACTCAGTTTATTCTCTGTAGTTAAGAGTATGTTTTACTGTTTGCCTCTCACTTTCCCCTCCCCACTGTGTTCATCTGTTTCATTTCTTGAATTCCATGTATGAGTGACATTATATGGTTTTGTCTTTCTCTGACTGACTTATTTTGCTTAGCATAACACACCCAACTCCATCCATACCATTCCAACTGGCAAGAAAAGATGCTCAACTTGGTCACATCAGGGAAATACAAATAAAAACTACAAGGAGGTATCACTTCACACCTGTCAGAATGGCTAAAATTAACAACACAGAAAATAACAAATATTGATGAGGATGTGGAGAAAGGGGAACCCTCTTACACAGTTGATGGGAACACAAACTGGTGCAGCCACTCTGGAAAACACTATGGAAGTTCCTCATGCTTTTCCCAAACCCCTTCCCAATCAAGCCTTCCTCTTACTCCTAAACCTTATAAATAACTGATTCTTCAATCAACCTATACTTTTGCCTTTTCCAAAAGGCCATATTGTGTTGGAGACTGTTCACAGTTTTGGAAATTTGCTAGAAGGACTAATGGGACTCAGCATATACTTATGCTTTTGGCTAAGATTTATTATAGCAAGGTAGTAATGATACATAGCTAGATAAGGGGAAAAGAAACAGGCAGATTCTGGAGGTACTCATGTGAAGATGTTGTGATGTTCTCTCCCTCCAGGAGGGGCTACACAGAGCTCTCTCTTCCCCCAGCAACAGAAATAAAGTTTTCTATGGGTGATATTTCTGCTCAAGGAAGCCCATTAGAGACTCAATGCCCAAAATTTTAACTGGGGACAGGTGAAAAAAGGCACCAGCAAAATCTCATTCTTCCAGAATGAAAACATGTGTCTGGCTAAAAATACATTGTTTATACAATCTAGGCACTGTGAGTCCTGCTTATCAGTTAGAGAATGGTGGGAACACTTCTGACATCCAAATTCCTAGATCTGGGATAAGGGTAATGTTGATTTCATAAAATGGATGGAGATACATTCCCTCCTCTTTTTCTTACTCTCTCTCTTTTCTGGAGAGATTCCATATAACTAGTATTACTTCTTCCTTTCATGTTTGGTGGAATTAATCAATGAAATTATATGAACTAGGAGTTTTCTTTTTTTGGAAAGATTTTAATCACAAAATGTATTTTCCTATGAGTTATGTGGCTCTTCAGATGATATGTTTCCTTTTGATCAAGTTTTTGGCAATGTCCTGCCTTTTAAGGAACAGGTCTATTTCATCTAAGTGGTCAAATTTATGAACATATTGTTCCCTATGTTCCCTTATTGATTATAGGGTCTGTAGTGATGTCCCTATTTTATTACTACTGTTGGTAAATGTGTCTTCTTTTGTTTCTTTGTGAGTCTTGTTACAGATTTATCAATTTAATTGAAATTTTCATAGAATCAGTTTTTGGCTTCACTTTTTCCCCTTCTACCCTCTGTTTTAAATTATATTGATTCCAGCTATTAGCTGTATTATTTCCCCTTTCCTCTTTTTGTACTTCTCTGTTAATTATTTTGTAGGAATCTTGGATTACTGATTTGAGAACTTTCTGACTACTACCTATTCAATTTCCCTTCAAGCACTGTTTGATTTACATCTCACAAATTTTGGCAACTTCTCTTTTAATTTTCATTCAATTCAAAATATTTCTAGCATCCCTTTAGTTTTTCTCATAGACACAAACACACACACACTTATATTTGATATGATTCTCTTATAAACAATATATAGATGGGTCTAATTTTAGCAAATTTGATAATCTCTTTTTTTCATTGATTATTTAAATAGTCACATACTATTTAATTATTGATATGGTTGGAATTAGTTCTATCATTTTATTATTTGTTTCTGTTCTCCATTTCTCAGTTCCATTTCACTGCCTACTTTGTATTATTTGAATGTTTTTTAATATTAAGTTTTAATTTATCTAGTGACTTTTTGCTATATCTCTATATTTTTTAGTGGTTAATCTTGGGATTGCAGTATACACAACTAACATTTCACAGTGTTCTCAGAGCTCATATTTTGCTACTTTAAGTAAAAGACATAAGCCTTACAAGCCTAAATATCTCTTTACCATTGCCTACTTATAATACATTTATTGTGTGTGTGTGTATATATATACATACCTTGAAATCTAAACCTAAACATACCTTGAGACATACCTAAACATACCTAGAAACCTGCTCATTCAATATTTTAACACTTGCTTTTAATAGTTGCATATATTTTGAAGAATTTAAGAGGGAAAGGATAATCTATTTACCCAAATGTATAAAGCTTTCTATTGCTCTTCCTTTATTTCTGAAGTTCCAACTATCTTTTTAGTATTATTTTCCTTTAGAGTGAAAAATTTCTTTTAATGTAGCTTTTAGAAAAAATCTCCTGGACACAAATTCTCTTAGTTTTCCTTTAACAGAGAAAGTGTTTAGTTCACTTTTGCTCCTAAAGCATACCGTTAAGAATAGAATGTAGGATTCTTTTCTATCAGCACATTAGGAATATTTCCCACTGTCTTTTGGACTCTGTTTCTGACCAAAAAATCCATCATTTCCTATATTTAATATATTATTTATCTCTACCTGCTTTCAAGAATTTCTCTTTTTTTTTGTTTATGATGTCTGTGTGTCACCAGCTAGAGACCCTAAGACATGGCCTTTATTGCCCACCTTCTTGTACTCACTAACATTTGTCTTAAACATTTTTCACTAAACTCTTCTTTCAGGGTTTCTACTTAACTCAGACAAATGAGACCCCAAACCACCCCAGGTGATGGCAACTGCCCTGACAAAATCTCCCATCTGTCCAGACCATCCAGACTCTTTGAGCTAAACCTGATTTGTACCTGTGCAGATGAACCATGGATGACCTCTGGAATGACCTACAATCACCTTTATCTCATTATAATACTAATATCTCTGCCCAGTGAGAAGACTCAGGCTAATTTAATAGCATACGATGTATGTTTAGGTATGTTTCCTTAAGATGTATGAGCAATCTCATGCCCGCCTCTACATACACAACAAGGCTTCACTATCTAAATATTCATCATAACCCTAAACAAAAAGAATCCGTTCACCTTCTCTTGGGGCATCATGGCTTTGGAAGCCATTCCCCATGATTCCCTTATTTACTGCAAACAAATTTCTTTGTGTGACAACTCAACTTTATGCATTTCTGACTCATCAAGGAGAAAACTCACTTTGGTTCATTTGCATATGGACATAATTTTTTGTTTATTCTAATTGGGATTTACAACTTTTTGACTGTCTAAATGTGTGAATTTTACCAAATTTGAGAAAATTTCAACCATTATTTCTTTAAATATGATTTCTGTGTCAATCTGTATTCCCCTGCATTTGAGATTCTAGTGCTATGAATATTAGAAATTTTGGTATGTCCTACAAATTACTGAGACTTTTTTTCATAGTTTATAGTTGGATTCCCTTGGTTTTTGTTTTTGTTTTTGCATTCCAAAATTTCTCCTGATTTATCATCAGATTTTCTGGCTCTTTCCTCTGATATCTCAGTTCTGTTAGTGAACCCATCGAAAGGATCTTTTTTTAACATTTCAGATATTGTATATTTTTAGTTATAAACTTTTCATTTGGCACTTTTTACATTTCTATTTCTCTGTTGAAGATCTCTTCTTTTTTTCCTTTTCTTTTCATTCAGTGTTTATCTATACCCTATGGATCATACTTATAAAGTTGCTTAGGAACACCTGGGTGGTTTAGAGGGTTAAG